TTCCTTTCCTTTCCTTTCCTTTCCTTTCCTTTCCTTTCCTTTCCTTTCCTTTCCTTTCCTTTCCTTTCCTTTCCTTTCCTTCCCTTCCCTTCCCTTGGATCAAATAACTTACTAGAATTCAGACGGTTCCAGATCTGTGGGGCTAGCCCTTCTGACACTGGCACACTCCTGCTGTGAGGCTCTCCTGGTGTCTCTTCTTTGGAGGGTACAAAACTTGGCCCACTGGGAAAGCTCAGGGGCTCCTGGGAGAGGTGGAGAAAGAGGCACCAAAGTTACCCCTAAGTGTTTAAGCCAAATGCTTGTCTCTTTCCCTCAATTTTGCACTAGGATGGGGGGGGGGGGGGAAACCCAACTGCTTACCTGCTGCAGAAGATCTTGCTTGCGAGGCCGTTCTCGGCGTTTTGCACCAAAGCCACTTACTGCGCCAGATTCCTTCAGAGGAGCACTGCCGGAACGGAGAAGCTGGTTCTTGTCCAGGAAGCAGGAATCTGAACGGAGAGAAGGAGATAGCGATTCCAATCAAACCAGACAAGACAGAATCAGGGAACAACATTAATGATAAAAACTCTATACATACACAATATCAGAGTTGGGAGGGGCCTTAGAGGTCTTCTGTTCCAACCTCTTGCCCAAGGACAAGACCTTATATCATTCTGGAAAAATGGCTGTGTAATCTTTTCCTGAAAATTTCCAGTGTCAGAGCACACTGATTAATTGTTACAATTGTCAGGAGATTTCTTAATTTTATTTAAATTCTGTCCCTCTCTGGAAGCTGACACGTTTTGCTTCTCCGAGCACATTAGTGGCAACGCAGCAGACAGGACAATAAGCTATTCTTGCACCGTGCCTCGGGGAAACCAGATCTGTCATTAAAAAACTCATATGAGCTTCTAGAAATTTTACTGTCAAAAGAGGAAAAGAGATGGGAGTTCTGAAACATCGTGGTCCTCCTGGCAACTTCCATTTGAAAGCTAATAAACTAGCAATCTTTGAACTTCATTTTAATAGCTACCACGAACAGCCCAAGCTGTTTTTTTCACTGTGTAATCTCATCGATTACAATGGGATTATTAAACAATAAACACGAAACGATATGAAACAAAGAAAATGCTTTTCCTCTCCACCCCATGAGCCGAGCTTCCACTCACAATCCCTGCGAAAACTGGCATTCTTGCCAACTAGCAAATTATAGTCCCCAAAGTGCTTTTCAAATGGCAACTGGACTTTCTTGGTTTTTTTCCCCTTCTCATCCAAGAAGATCGTTCACTGAAGAAGCTTTTTTGGATGAGAAGCGAAACGTCTTCAAAGAAAAAGAAAAAAAAAACACGCCCCCAGTTGCCTTTTGGAAAAAAAGCACCTTTGGGACAACCACGACTTGGATGCTTTGAGAATCTCCACAGACATTAAGCAAATCATAGAGCCCAAAATTTTTCGAGCTTTGGCCTAAAAAGAGCCCCAACGTTACCTGTAGTGCTGCCACTCCTATTCTCAAAGCACCCCAACGGGAGGCCCGAAGGGTTCCCACTTCCAGATCCGAGGAAGGACGGCTGAGCCGGGCCAGGGGAGCTGGGCTTTGTGTGGCGGCTGCCCAGTTCAGCTAGAGCCTGCTGGATGCCAGCTGGGTCACTGTGAATGACGCGATCCAAACGATACACTGTACTGGTAGTAGGAGCAGGAGGGAGGCTCAGGCCGGGAGAGTGATCGTCTGTGTTTCGGCTGGAGGGGAGCAAATGGGGATCGATGGAAATATTACAAAACCGAAGGCAGAAAGGAAGGAGCGGGCAATGATTTCTTCTCCCTCTGTCCACAGTTAGGCCACCCTCAAATACCCTCCCTTCCATTGGGGGCCAAAGCAGGGGTGGGATTCTACCGGTTCGCACCTATTCGCTAGAACCGGTGGTTAACATTCTAAGCAGTTCGGAGAAAGGGTTGTTAGAAGAAATTACTGGCCTAATCCTGTAAGGAAGGCAGGAAGGAAACATTCTGGTGTTGCTTACAGAAACTGCCTCTCCGTTAACCCTTATGACGTTCTTGGCAGGACTAGACTTCCTGTCTCTGGAACTTCTCTGGAGTTTTTCCCCCCCTCCTTTGCTGGTACTTTGTTTGTGTGGAGTGACCATTCAAAGTTACAATGGCACTGAAAAAAGTGACTTATGACCATTTTTCACACTTACAACTGTTGCAGCATCCCCACAGTCATGAGAGGCCAGGCGAGGAGATGCGTGCCTCAATGTGAATGATATTGAGTTGGCCACACCCATCCAATAACATGACCATCAAGCCATGTCCACCCAGTCACATGACCACCAACTGAGCCACGCCCACAGAACCGGTTGTTAAAAAGATTGAATTCCCACCCCTGGGCCAAAGGTTTTACTTTCTAGGCCTGTGATGGATGAAGCCAGCTTCTCGTTTCTGACTCCGTGGGTCTTGACTCAAGAAAGGGAGGGACTTGTTCTTGATCCAGCCTGTCAGCCAAAGGATTTTACTGACACCAAAAACAGAGTGACACACTGGCATACAGCTAAGGATTTTTATGATAAATTCCTTGAAAGAAAAAAGTGGGGAGTGGGGAGCCTCAGAAAGGAGGGGGGGGACATTCAAGCAGAATTTTGGTGCTTGTGTTGAAGGCACTGATGAGTGCTTGTGTTGAAGGCACTGATTTACCTGGTTAAATAAGCTTTTGTCAAGAAGACTAGTTGGATACCTGTGCTTCGCTACAAAAGTATGTGGTCGGGCTTAGTTTTGGGGGAGGAAAATAAGGCAAAAAAGAAAAAAAAATCTGCCTCTGCCTCCCAGCATCCATTGGTATTCATCTGGCTAGTGTCCTGTCAGTGTGTGAGAGCTGAGGGCTGTTTGGAAGCTGAATCAGTATTTGCTGTGTGAGCAAGGAGACAGCAAGGAGCCCGGGCGTGGCTTAGCTCAACTGTTCTGTACTAAAGCTGCTTGGTGCTGTGAAATTAAAACTGAAACTGAAACTCTTCTCCTCTGCTTGTGCTTTGCATTTGGAACAGATTTCTTTTCAGGTGGGGAGGGGGGAGTAGAACCCCTTAGCATCAGAGCCTGTTAATAATAATAATAATACATGAAATACGAATGCTCTGATGGTCATTTTGAAAAATCCTTTCTTAGTGAGCACCTAGAAGCCAAGAGGAATATAGGTGGCAAATTTCAAGTTTGTAGGCTTTATGGTTCTGGAGATTTTGTGATGATGCCTGAGTGGTATTTTTTTTTTGTGGTTTTGTGTGTGTGTGTGTGTGTGTGTGTATTGTATATAATTACACTGGAATTTAACCAAGATGGAAAGGGATTGAGGAACAGGCTCCGTAAAAGCGTTCCTAAACAGAGCTGAGCCTTTCCAGCGTGGCTACTTGAACGGGACATGAATTAGTATGTGGTATTTCAGCCACCAGGAATAACCAGGCACAGCAGGTAAGGCCGTCTACCAAAGAATACACTTATATTTACTATGGGAAGACAGGACCAGGGGAGACAGGTGGAATATCAAGAGAGTACACCCTCTGAACACTCTTTGGTTTTGCTCCTGACAGGAGGAGGTGCTTTGCCCACATGATTTGAAGCTTGGTAATCTTGTTGCTTTTTAAATTGCTTTGCAGGAGCATTTGTTACAAGTTAGGTTTTATCCTTCTGCACAATGTAACATTTTAAAGATAAAACTGGTGCAGAAAGTATAAACAAAAATTGCAACTGCAGCTTATTTGAGACCCCACGACTCTCTCTGCCACTAAACCCTTTTCCGATAACCAGGTAAGGTTAGACTGCAACTCCCATCATTCCCGATCAGGGCAATCAGGCTGCCTGGAAATACGGTGGTACCTTGGTACTCAACTGCTCTGTAACTCATCCAATTTGGTACGCGAGGCATTTTGACGCAAAAAAAAATTGTCCCAATGCTCACTTATTTGTTTGATACTCAACACACAAGCTACAACTGGTTGGTGTCGGATGCCGTGTGACTGGCTACATTATTGTTTGGTACTCATTGTTTTTGGTACTCCCTCCTGGAACCAATTAACGATGAATACTGAGGTATCAACATAAGGAGAAATGTAACCAAACAAAACTTAGAACAGCACCTTGGTTGGAAATGGTGGCGGAGGCTATGCTAGCTTAAGTCAGGGGTCCCCAACCACCGGGTCCCGGACCGGTACCGGTCCATGGAACATTTTCTACCGGGCTGCCGGTTTGCTGGGGGCCGCCATCTTGTTTTGATGAGAAAGTGCTTCCGGTGAGCTTTTCCGGGTGGAAAGCGGCATTTGGGTCCTGAAGGAATCCTTGCGCCTTAGTTTCATTGAAGGGGGGGAGCTTCGAACAAAACTAAGGCGCGAGGAATCTTTCAGCACTCAAGGCAAGGCGAGCGGAGCGACCGTCCTGAAGCCCACTGACAAAGGTACAAAGGAGGAGTTGAAGGTGGCGGGGAGAAGCGGGGGACGGCTGGCTGGCCGGTCGCTCGGCTCGCCTTGCCATGCGTGCTGATGCCGGTACCGGGCCGCGGATCATTTTGTGATGCCGGTACTGGGCCGTGGCACAAAAAAGGTTGGGGGCCACTGGCTTAAGTCAACCAGAACACTTCAAATCATAAAGTCATGCCACTCGCCTTGAGTTCCCTTGCTTTTTGCTTTGACTTCTCCTCTCCTCCGCTTCACCTCCCACCCACTCACCCTTCTCAAAGGTTACACCTCCCAGGACTTGCCTGCGATTCTTGGGAGAGGGCCAGCTTCTTTTATCCCCTCCGCTGCGACCGCCGCTGCTCCCTCCACGGCCAGCTTTGCCTCCTCCCCCCGAGCCAGGGTTGGAGCGCCGGTTCTGTCGGTCCATGCCAGGCCGTTGGCTGGAGAAGCTGCGCTTGGACATTTCTTTCTTCTGGGCTAAACTGAGCTCGTTGTTAGAGGGACGCCCCCCGACGGAAGGCACGCCGGAGCAACCCCCCTTCAGGAAGGCAGTGGGGGGAGGTCCGCCTGGCGCCGGCTCTTTCTCCCCACCGCCGCGGCGCTCTGTGAAGTCACTGCTCTCCGAAGCCGTCTCCCACTCCTCATTTGCCTGGTCAGAGTTCTGGTTGGACAAATCCGGAGACTTTGTGCCAGCCACTCTACGGGCAGTTGATTCCTCTGGGACGGGAACAGAAGGCGCCGGGGAGAAAGGCTGGCCTACCACCCTCTGTTCACCGTTGAGTCGGGCGGCGTTCTCCCGCTCCTGTTTCAGCCTCCGGAATCGAGGTGGCTTGTCCTGTTGCTGAGAACGACCATGGCGCCGTCGCCGAGGTGGTCGGTCAAAGCCACGATCAGAGTTGGGGCCAAGGGGAGGCTGCTTAGGGGGCGCTTGAAAACCACCGGTATCCTCTGGGGCCACGGGGGGAGGTCCCGGCGGTGCCTTTTCCTTCACTGAAGATTCCAGAACCGCTTCTTGTTGCTTTTCGGGTTTCTTATTGGGTTGGGGCTTAGATGGAGGGCTCCACCCGCCAGGGGGAGCACGGCCACCTCCTCGGCCACGACGGGAGGGTACACCCCGGGGAGTGAAGACACGGCCACTACGGGCTCCTGGATCCGAGAGGCGTGGGGGCATCTTGTCAGCAAATCGAGGCAAGCCAGGGTGCTGGGAAGGGGGTGCTCCTGTATGAGTCATTGGTGGGCCTCGGTTGCGCTGGCTAGGGGCTGGCTCTTTGGTCATCTCCTTGTCCGAGTGGGCCACATCACTGGCACTCTCGTGGGTCTCGCTTCCTGTCTCAGACCCCCGCTGACGTCGCCGTTTCGGGATCTCTTCGTACTCGGAGCCTTCACTCCGTGTCTCGCTGGTGTTGCGAGGACGGAAATTGGAGCCAGGCCCCGTAGTTTTACCAGGGCCATCATCAAGCCGATAGAAAGGCTCACGGTAGCTACGGAACTCTCGGCTTCTTCCCCGGCCGCCTCGGCCACGCCCACTGTAAGCACCTCGGAAGCCCCGTCCTCGGGCAAAATACTCTCCTCGCCCCCTTGCCCGGCCACGGCCAGCATAGCCCCCACGCTCGTAAGGTCCTTCTCGCCGCCGGCGGCTTGGCGACAGGTTGCCTTGTTGATGCTGCTGCTGCTGCTGCTGCTCTTTGGGTGGCATTACTGTTCCACCATTGACCACTGGCTTGGATTTGTTTTCCTTGCCTGGTTTTGGAGGCTCTTTCGGTAGTTCGGGCTTACTACTCGGTGCCTCTCCACTCTCCTTGGCCTTTCCTCCAGCACGCAGATCGTCAGCTTCATCTTTTATCTCCTTAGGGGGCGGCGGTTTCTTAATGGGTCCAGCTCGGCGTGGAATCTTGTCTCCAGAAAGGTCTTCAATTTTACGGCTACTGCCAGGACGAGGACCCCAACGCGTCTCAGTTTTGGACTCACGCCGTGGCTGCTTATGGAATTCATGCTGCTGCCGCGGTGGCTTTTCCACCCGCCGTATTATCTCCTCTTTAACTGGGATTTCCTCTTTGGGCTGTTCGGGGGGAGGCTTTTTAGCTACTACTGGACGAATGACCAGAGGCTCCACTGATTTGACCTCTTCCGGGAGGTCACGATGGAGCAACTGTGGTTCCTCTTCACTTTTGCGAGATGTTTGGATTTGGGGCTCTGGTCGTCCATTTCTGTTCACTTCCGCTGGTGCTGCCAGAGGCATGCTAGCTTGCCAGGGCCCTCCTGGCCGTGGGGGCTCATCCATTGGGAAACGATGCAACGGTGCAGGGTTGCCGTTTTCTGAGAAACCCTGGTAGTTCCCCATGTATGGCTGAGGGGTGACAGCATCACGGAGGCGAACAGGTGGGGTCTCGCTCCTGAAAAAAGACATCAAGTGTATGTTTTATTACGGAAGTCAACAAGTGGTTGATTTCTGTAATAAAAGTAGTATTCAGTAGTACACGATAAGCTGTTCTAAACTCAATTGTAAAAAAATTCAATTTTTGTAACAGAATTGTCAATGTCTTGCCTGAGCCAGCTGACCAGCCATCAACTTTTTTTGAGTTTCAATTTTAGCTTAATTTCTGTGGATCTCACTCCATTTTTAAAAGATCCCTATGGGAACACACATAAGTGCACTGGCATGCCTATCACCCTGTCAAAAGTTTTCTTATTTTGTTTGGTCAAATTTGTAATTTTCATTTGACAAATTAAAAAATAAAATTAAAAAGGCAGCCCTAAACTGTGACAACTGCCGTCCTCTGTCTTCTCACCAACTCTCCAGTTTCATGCAAGAGGCATAAGGAAGCGCAACTGAGATACAAAAAGCGATGTCTTTGGGGATGAGGCATACAAGCGTAAATTTCCCTCATCAGTCAAAAGAATCATGTTTCCTGATGTGGTTCCAATAACAAAAACAGTAAGTTACTGCACAAGACAGGATTCTTAATTTATCCATTTCCTCATTCCTGAATCCAAGCAGCCCAAAAATCTTCTAAAGCTGGGGTGTCAAACTCGTGTTCTCACGTGATGTATGATGACTCCGCCCCCCCTTTGCTAAACTGGGCTTGGGCGTGGCCAGCACATGACATATCCATCCCATTGGCCGCCAAGTTTGACAGACCTGTTCTAAAGGTTCCTTACCTTAAGCCTTTCTCCTCTTCCTCCTGCTGCCGAAGAGATGCTGTTGGAGGCCGTGAGTCAACACTAGAAGGGGCATTGGTGAAGACATCTCCAGGCCAGGCTAGCTTGGGATCAACAGGTGGGGTGCCACGCTCTCGAAGGATGGGAGGATGGCGGTCAAACTGCTCTGAGTTGGAGCCTCCGCTGTCTGATCGCTCACGGGGTAGAAGACCTGATGGGAGAGAAAGGGTAGCACGTGTACAGATCTAATTCCCTGTGCAATCTTCCAAACCAGCGGTCTCCAATCTTTCTGGCTTTGCTGACTGTGCCCCCGTTTAAATCCATCTTTCGTCGGCTGGCCCACAAATGAACATTGGTTTCAACGATACATACCAGAGGGGTGTACACCAGGAGGATAAAAATCCATAGGGGGCCGGCCCTGCATTATGCGTGGGTCCATGTAAGGCGGGATCATCATCCAGCGAGGATCAAAGTTTATCTGAGGCATTGGCGGAGGCCGCCCAATGGAGCCTGGATAGATGCCTTTGGGTGGAGCCTGCTGTGCCTGAGGGGGTGCCGAGGGCTGCTGCTGTCCAGGTGGCCCCGCCTGAGGATGGACGTTGCCCGAGGGGCCCAGAGGGGCCAGAGGAACACCTGCTGCCTGTTGCTGGGTAGAGGAAGACAATGGAGGCTGGACCTGGCTTTGTTGCTGTTGCTGCTGCTGCTGCTGCCACTGCTGCTGCTGTTTCAGCAATTGCTCCTGGGAGGGTAACGAGAGCATCTTTTACTACACAGCAAATTCAAACAACTGCTCCTAACCAGAGCCTGTCAGATCTGCCAACAAACCGCTTCACAGCCCAGCTTCGCTTCAGTTTGATGGCAGCCTGCCATATACTGTGGGGAGGAAGGAATGGGAGGATATAGGCGGGGGAGGGGAGGGGGGGGGGGGGAACGATAGGAACCAGAAGTGCCAACCAGAGACAACGGTTGAGAGATCCAAGGACACCCGTCTGGGAAAGAAAGAAAGCCCATAAGCCCACAAAGAGGAATGCCAAAATGTGAAAAACACCTAGTTTGAACCTTATTGGGCACCACTAAGACGACCAAGGGGAGGTGGGCTTGGGAGGAGGAAAAATGACTGTGCTTCTGTGGGAATTCCTCAGATCTGGCTTTGCTACGCTGTAACCGCTTAGGTAAAAGTTATACCTTTCACTACACATGGAGTCGAGGGTCTTTCTTTTCTAAATGCCTAAGCTGGAACGGGTCTGACGCAGCTCTTGCTTGCACAAGCAACTGCTAGATAGGGTGTTTCGGCAGCTGTGGGGACATCAGCAGGTACCAAATCCTTAATCAGACCTCGACCTAAACCAGGACTACTGGGCTGTTTCTTCTCAGACACCTCCTACTTTACCTGCTGTTGCCGCTGGAATCGAGGTGGTAAGGACTTCTGATATTTGGAATAGCCAAGGGTCTGAGCCGGAATGGGCTGGCGAGTTGGGAGAACCATTTCTCCCTTGGGCTCCACCTTGGCAGAGATGGGCACCGCTGGAAGGACGGGTCCAGGCAAGGCTGGTTGCTCTTCCCTCACTTCTGGGATTTCCTTGGGAGGAGGGGGCGGAGGCAGAGGGGGTTCAGCGACTGTGGAACAAGACAGAACAGGAAAGACAGAAAATAAGTGGCAGAGTCCCATGTAAGTCCCATCTGTAACCAGTGACGGTGAACCTATGACACACATCGTAGGCGACACGAACAGTCATTTTGGGGGACACGCCAAGCCTCTGGACCCTCTGGAAGTAACGCCGAGTCATGCTCTTGTGTGGAGCTTCCAAAAAGTACTTATGAATGGAGTATGCTTTCCTCTTCCTCCTTCTGGAGTTACTAAATCACTCAAGAGCATTCTCTGGTTTTGTGATGCCTTTGAAAAATATTCTGTAAAAATGTATTTAATAAATTTAAATAATTTAATTCCAATTGCTATTTTGTTATGAATTGTTTCTCTTTTATCAGGGTGTAGGTTGAGGGGGGTATGACACACCAGCAGACTCAAGCATGTTCTGAATTTTTGACCGCTGAGCCCAAAAGGTTCATCATTGATGCATCAATCGTCTATCGATTGCAGGATGAAGGCCTCTTCCACATGTTTCCAACCACTGCCACTGATCTATAAGATCCTTAAAAGCTCATCTTTCTGAATGTATCTTTCTCTCTGCGCTTAGGCTCTGACGTCTCAAAATCTACCAAGAAGGAACTTTTCAACATACCTTTCTCACTTGTTAAAAAACAAATAAGATTTCCCTCCCTGTATTGACGTTAAGATGAACTCTTTTACTCCTGCATTGCTTTTCATTTAAATCTTTCTTGATCAGTATCCAGAGGTTTGCAAAGTGACCATTTGATGTTATATTTTTAATTCAATACCTTGTGGTGCAGGATAGTTTGTGAGTTTCCAAATTAAGTAAAATGTAATCCTGTTCCCTCAGATTGCAACTGCCCAGCGCGGCCAGAAATAGGTCATAAATTGGCTTTTGGAGGGGTCTTTTTTTTTTATATTTGGGGAGAATTCATATGCAGAAAGAGAGAGCATCGGGAAGAAAAAAACAGACCCTTCTCCTCAAGTCAGTAATGTACTTACAATCAAAATCTGAGAGACCTTTCCTATTTCTTTTCTCCATTTCTGAGCAAACAACATAAAAAGATTGATTGATAATGCCTTCTGTTATGTCCTTGCCTAACTAGCAGCTCCAAAGAACTGCAAAAGATTCTGAGGGCCTCTTCTACAGTAGTCTAACCCAAAAGCTCTATGGGCATTTAAAAAACAAAAGCACAGTCCTGTTAGCTGGGAATGGTGGAGAATGTAGTCTAAAGATGCCAGTTTGTAGATATAGCTATTCTGGAACATGCTTTCAGCTGATGTGGGCCGAGGCCTGTTGAGCCCTCTTGCTTATGGAAATTAACAGTGAATGGGTTCTCCAGCTTAGCCAATGATCTCCTGCAAGAGGGAGAGAACGGGAGCTGCTGGGAAGATGGGGGTCAGGGAGGCAATGAGATATGCTGCTGTACTGCAATATCAGGGGCAGCGAAGGGGTTGAAGGAAAGACTGGAGGATGGAGAACGGTCAGTGGCTAGATCATTACGGGAGGGGCTGTTGAGGTGGAAAGAGAGAGCATAGATGACGGGCACCAGCCTTGCTCTATTCACCCTGCCTGGATTTTACTTAATCTGAAACTTAAATCAATTCAAATATTCCAAATGTTATTTCTACTGATTCAAACCAAGGACTGTTGAACTAAGTTTCCAGTTTGAAAAAGAACAGTAATAATGAATGTATTATGTAAAGATACAGATTAAAATACAAAATGCCATGGTCATTTTTAAAAAGAAAAAATCACACACACACACAAAAACACCAAAAAAAAAAAAGCCTTTAAAAGGCATTATGTACATATAACATCCTCCCTAGTGGAAAGCTGATTAATATAATAGAGCAATGTTGGTTTCCCAGCCCTCGCTAAACAGGTCAAAAATACTTTTAAACTGTTAAGCTACTGAATACTTACAAATTGTTAGCCCATCGTCTATAAACTGTATTAATAACAAAGTGGTTAACAGGAAAAAAAACCCAGTAATAATGAATGTATGTATTATTATGTAAAGATATAAAATTAATAAAAATTGTTAACAGTAATAAGAGAAAGACACAGTTGAAATTCCCAAACCATGTTGTCCCTTTTTTGCATTTGAAGGACATTATAGTTTCACTGACTTTTGGCTAGTCTCTCAGATATACTTTTCTAATGCTAATATGAAGAAAAACTTACCAAGAGTGGTTGAATCCAAACTGCTCCCATTGCTGCTGTTGCCGCTGACACTGCCACCACTGACACTGGCAGCCGCGTTGTGAGGTTTGTTAGCCAAAACCAGCTCCTCTTTTTTTTCTTCTGGGGAGCCCGGGGCAGCCAATGGATTGGGGGGCACTGGGGTGGGAGGGGGAGGAGGAGCAGGGGGCTCTTTGGGAGGTTCCGGCTTCAGACGCTTATCGGGGGCGCCAAATTTCTCGTCCAGTCGCTTGAGCTTCTCGGCGCAGGCGGCTCGCCGTTCCTCTTGCATGCGCCGCTCCTCCTCCTCCCTCCGACGTCGGGCCCGCTCCACCGCAGCAGAAATCTCCGACGAGGATTGCTTTCGGCGCTGGCGCCAAGCTTCATCCTCATCCTCAGGAGGAAGTGGCCGCAGTGAGCGGTCCTGGAGGGAAGAAACGGGCTTGGCTCAAAGCTGCTCCCTCAATGAAATTGCATTTTGAGGGAGCAGAAGGGATCTTTCCCGATTTAAGCACTGCAGTGGGAATTCAAAGGTCGGAGGTTTTCACATGCAAGTCACTTAAGACCCTCACCATTCTGTTTATGGGAAAGCAGCCCGTTTTTGCACAATAAAACAGCAATAAACTACAGGTACTCCTCAACATGTCACAGGTTGCTTAGTGACTGAACTTATGGTGCATCCCTCAAAACCTGGATTCGAATCTATGATGGCTGCCCCACCCACCCCGGTCACATGACTGCATTTTGGGCACTCAGAAATCTGACAACGGATACTGCCCTTTGCAGCTTCCTGTGGTCATCAGACTGCAATTTACGTTTTTTTGCTGGAAACTGGCGTTTATTTCCAGGTCTCAGAAGAAAAAAAAAAAGTCCATTGTAGACCATGGGTTCACTTTACAATTGTGGTGTTCACTTAATGAGCAAGAAGTATTAAAATTGGGTGTGGTCATGTGATAACCCACTTAATAAAGGCATGACTTACAACCACAATTCTAGGCTCAGTTACAGCTGTAAGTCGAGGACTCTGTATAGCTTCCTTTCCTTAGTCATTTTCTCATACTTTACACCAGAGGCATCAAACTCGTGTTGTCACAGTGTCATCACGTGACGTATCATGAATTCCCCCCCCCCTTCGTTAAACCAGGCGCCGGCATTGCCAGCGCGTGACGTATCTGGCCTGCAGGGCGCGAGTTTGACACCCCGCTTTACACCCTTCGGTTTAAGGCAGAAGCCTGATCCGCTCTTATGTTCTTAAATCCCTAGAGTGGCAATGGCCAAACCCTCCACAGACTCACCGGGAAATCGTTGGGCTGCCCCCAGTTGCCCCTGTTTGGAGGTGGAGGTGGTGGAGGCGGTGGCGGGCGGATGGCCGGGGAAGGTGGCGGCACGTCTTTGGCGCCCTCTGGGGGACGCGTGTTTTCAGTCCAGGCTGTTTTCACAAGAGATTGTTCCTCTTTGGGAGTTCCAGCCTTCTTTGTCTCAGTGCCTGAGGACTGGCTTTCGGGACCAGAAGTTTCATCATTACTACAAAGAGATAAGAGGGAAGAGTAAAAACAAGAGCTTTGGAGATTGTGTGCACACCGGGTCTGTCTGCTTTAATGAAAAAAAAAATAGCAGCGGTGAGATGATAGCAGTCTTCCATTATCTCAGGGATGCCTCAAAGGAGTCAAGCTCTTCTCCAAAGCACCTGAGGGCAGGACAAGAAGCAATGGGGGGAAACTAATCAAGGAGAGAAGGAACCTAGACACAAAGAGTCCTCACTTAAGTGACCGTTTGAAGGTACCACTGAAAAAAGGGACTTAGGACTGTTTCTCACACAGATGACCTTTGTAGCATCCTCATGGTCATGCGGTTGGCATTTGGATGCTTGGTAACTGACTCAATATTCATGACGTTTGCAGCCTTCTGGGGTCATGTGATCTGACAAGCAAAGTCAATGGGGTAGTCAGATTCACTTAACAACTGTGTTACTAATAGCAACAGCAGTGATTCACTTAACAAATGTGGCAAGAAAAGTCGTAAACCGGGGCAAAGCTCACTTAACGGCTTTCTCACATAGCAACATAAATTTTGGGCTCAATTGTGGTCATAAGCTGAGGACTGCCTGTATAGGGAGAAATTTTCAGGCAGCGAGGACACTTAATCAGTGAAACAGCTTGCCTTTGGGAGTTGTGGGAGCTTCATCACTGGAGGTTTTTTAAGAGGAGACTGGAGAACCAGTTGTCTGGAATTGTATAGGGTCTCCTGCTTGAGCAGGGGGGTTGGACTAGTTGACCTCCAAGCCCCCTTCCCGCTCTGGTTATTCTGTTTGCAGTTGGGATAATCAGCAATAAGAGGAGCTTTGACTCAAGTGCTCTTGAAATGCAGCCACCTGGGAATGATTCTCCTTGGCTCTTGCACACCTGTGGGCTGCATTTCCAGAGTGTCACATTTGAGCAGAGGTACTTTAAAAACAAAACAAAACACCTCCTTTCCTACATCTCCTCCTAACCCAGGAGCCAAGTTCATGGGAAAAATCCCATGCACTCAGTTACCGCACTGCCCCATTCCTACCGGGTTTCGGTAATATCTTCATCGGACTCTTTCCCGTCTTCTTCATCACTGAATTTTAGCTTTTCAGTGTAGTCCACTTCTTCGTGGGCTCCTAGTGAGAGAGGAGGGGAGTGATAAGGAGATCGAAGTGCCAGCACCCTTGGAGGGCTGGAAAGAAATGGTCGCATAACCCAGCAACCGTTATGTGATCCTTCCCGCCAGTTTACCTGCCCAGCCATCATCATTTTCCTGGTCCAACTCATCAAATTCTTTCAGGTCGTCCTGCTTGAGGACGGGAGGACGGCTTACAGGTTCCGAGGTGCGCAACTGAGGTTGTGCGGGGCGAGGCCCAGGGAGCCGCTGGAACCTGAGAAGGAAAGAAACAGCAAGAGAGTTTAAACGCCACTTATGCTACTGGCTAACCAAGAGGCACCTTAAATCCAGGAGTCAATGGGTATCCAAAAATATCTGAGTTCAGCTGTTCTCCAGCCCACGTAGTGGAGAGGCAACCCATATTCATTTCTCGTGCGTGAGCCACCAGACCAATTGCAGCCAGGCTTTGAGTAAAACTGTAAATTCTACCGATTTAGAATTTACCTGCGATACCCATTTAAGTGTTGGTTAATGAGCCGTGTTAATTCTTTTATCTGAATGTGAATACTGGGAGCAAACTAAGAAATGAGAGAAGTGTGTTTCCTTAATCCAATCCAGTATTTTTCTAGGACTACCGTATTTCCCCATGTATAAGCACCCCCTTTGTATAAGCCACCCCCCCAATTTTTGGACTGTGAAGTTTTGAAAAAAATATTTTATTAGAGAAACAAGTTATGAAGAAAGAAAATTTACAAAGAAACAAAATTCGACGTCTAGATCTACAACTTCGGTCATGACGCCGAAAGCGGTGCGGGCGACGCTAGCAATCTACACATCGGAATGAGAGTAGGAACGAAGCATTCAGGCCGATGCCTAGCATATGCATTTCTATCGCGTACTCGCACTCGTAATCGTATCATCACGTACAATTTTTACAAAAAAGTATAGCATACTGCTGGAAAACCAGTTTATTCCTACTTTATTATTTTATGCATTTTTCACGTATAAAAAGTGTACCTGCTTTGTATATGCCACCCCCCTACTTTTTGGGCTTGAAAATTTTGGAAAAAAGGGGTGGCTTATACATGGGGAAATACGGTATATGGCAGACGTGAGCCCACAAAAGGGGTAACTCATTTAACGAAGCGCCCACAGATCGAATAAGTAGCCCTGGGCCAGTATCCTCTGAAATAGCCCTTTTTATTGTGGATCTCAATAGCTGGGCATCCCTTTCACTTCTTTATTAGCAACCATATCTAGCCTTCTTCTGTTTAAAAGATACAAACTTTATAATATCATCATCTTCATCTGCCTTTAACTATTCCGGAAATTTAAAATAACAATCAAATGATCTAAACAGTTTCAGAGTCTCTTTATTAGACCATAATATTATACCACAAAAAAATAAAATAAAATAAATCGAACATTTCACTTTTGCTTCTGCTAGAGAGCAGATATCCTCCTCAAGCCACATTCATTAACCCCTAATTCAATTCCCTTCACTCACAACCCTCCCAAAATCTCTGATTTACCTCTGTGCCTCTGCTGTGGGGTAGCGGTAAGGTCCCTGTGGCCCATACGGAGGTGGGAACGGGAGATATGGGGGATACATCTGCAATTGAGCAGAGAAGAAATCCATTACTGGGAAATTCCCCCCCTCCCCAAAAGCTTTCCAATGAAGCAAAAAAAAAAAGAAAAAAAAGCTCATCTTCTTCCACAATATACTTACAAATGGCGGCATCATCCCCCGATAGGGAGGGAATTGAGGCGGGATGCTGGGCTGCATGCTGACACCAGCCCGTCCATCCTCAGGCACCAGCTCCCCATCGGTGCCCCGCCCACCTCCATCCCGCCAGCTGGTTGCGTCTGCAAGAGAGTTATCGGAGGAAGCAAATAAGTGCGGGAGAATGGGGAAGAGAGCCTCTCGAATGATTTACCCAGAGGTCGATGCCTCGGAAGCCACTGTCAACTTACTCTGGGGGCGGAGGTTTGGTCCGGGCCCATACGACGCATCGGTAGTGTCCTTTTCTTTGCCAGCTTTGTCCTGGTCGCCAGCCGCCTGCAGGGTCGGAAATTCCTCGCGAGAGAATCGCGACAGTAGGCTTGATCCCTTTCCACCTTGACATCAGAGAAAGACCGTGGAGTCTCTTGGCAAGATGGCTCCATCTTGCAGAAAAACATGGGGGTGTTTTTAACTTGCATAAATTGAAGGGGGGGGGGGGGACTTACCATCTCCTTGTGCTCCATGGGTAACGCTGGCCTGTGCCCAGGACTTTACCCCGCTTGCTACTGTAGGGGGATTCTGAAAGGAGGAGACAGGAGGAGAAATATTAACGACAAAAATATTCCGAGGGCCTCCAATTAATTATTCAGGGGTCTCAACAGTGCAAGTAACTAGAGATCCCAGTACCTGGGCCATTTTTTTGGTAAAATGTCAGTTTAATGATGGACATCAATTGCCCTATTACTAGCTAAACATGGGATTTCAAGAGTTCAGGATTTATTGGTTAGGAAAGGCAGATCTAGAAGTTCACACTAGTTCCTTCAAGTTAATAAATTTTCTAAGATCATGGCTACATGTAAAATTGACGTGCTGAAAAAAAATACTTCTCAAAGGATGCAAGTTAGAAGCATCCAGGAGTTGTTACTCAATCATTCTTGCGTCTTGCAATCGGGACTGAGAAACTCATAGGCATGAATGTTGTTTAGACACGACACTAAACTATGTTCACCTTTAACAAAAGATTCAGGCTCGTGAGCAACTTCTTCATTCTTCGGGGCTCACAAAGATCAGAAGCTTTTGTCTGGCAAATCATAGGCAAGCATTTATATGTAACGAGGCGCTAAAATGTTTTGGATGGTGTAAGGGTGCAAAGAAGGCTCGTTATTGCTCAATACTACACATGAATCAGGGTGCTATGATTTGTCCACACTGCTGCCACCTCCAGCATAAATTACTGCAACGTGTTCTACGTGGCGGGGCTGCCTCTGAAGCAGACTCAGCAGCTACACTTGGGACTGAATGGTGCAGCTCCTCTTTTGGCAGGCAACGCTTGCGATATGCACACCGAGTGTGGCTGCGGTTCCCTGTACTGCTTTCCAACAGGCTTCCAGGTCCATATATGAGGCTTATGCACATGCCCTGCGGGTGATTCAGGAATCAAGAGAGAGTAAAAGGCTCTGGAAAAAATATCTTTCCCGAGGTGGTGCCTGTGCTTCTGATCATTTGGGCAGCTGTTATAATACAGCTTGTTTGGACAGCTTTGAGGGGCGACCTCTTGTTTATTGTGTGCATAACCACAACAATAACGTTGTTTGGGTTATGAACTTAACGCTAATCCACAACAGAAAGCAGTATGGGCCTTTTGCTGTGTGGTATCTTTAGATATTTGAAATGTGTTCTCTAGCCACCCTTTTCACTCATCTTTTCAAAGCAAAACATTAAACATCTCTCTTCATGGAAAAGTTCATCTTCACAAAAAAAAAGCCTCCCGGGAATTAGTGGCAACCATTTTTGTATTACAGGTAGTCCTTGATTTATGACAATGGAGTCCAAAATGTCTGTTGTTAAACGAGACATCTGTGAAGTGAATTCTGCCCCATTTTACGACCTTTCTTGCTTCAGTTGTTAAGTGAATCACTGCAGTCGGTAAGCTAGTATAACCTGCTTGTTAAATGAATCTGGCTGCCCCGTTGAATTTGCTTCTCGGAACGTCACAAAAGGGGATCACATGACCCCGGGAGACTGCAACCGTCATAAATAAAAACCAGCTGCCAAGCACCTGAATTTTGGTCACATGACCACATAGATGCTGGAAAGGTTGCAATTGTGAAAAACGGTCATGTCACTTTTTTCAGTGCTGCCTTTAAATGTGAACAGTCACTAAGTGGACTGTTGCAAGCTGAGGACTGCTTGTAATGCCAAGCAATGACAGCAGAAACCAAAGTTACTTGAAAGAATCTCCCTTTGTCTTGAGATTTCTTTCGCACACAGAACTATCCCTTACCATTGTTCTGGACGGATTAAAATCCACTTTTCTGTAATTCAGTATGCAGTTTGGAATACTTAAGTTTTAGTTACCCGTTTAAAATCAAGAACTTCAGCACTTCCCTCACTATCCTTACTACTTGCTCTTTCCATGACTGTCTTTTTGAAACAGAGCTAGACCATTACTTATTTTCAAAATGCTTATAGAAGTTGATGTAGTAGTGTGACTCATGAACTAAGCCATCAGCCATATATTGCAATTCACAAAGTGTGTGCTGGTAAACGTGCTATGCTATGCCATACTTGTTATCCTTACTGGGATTCCTAGGGTTCAAAAATAAGCTAGTTTAAACTGGTATGATCACAGTTTCAATCAGCCTGTCATTCAGTTGGATCAACATTTGCTTCCAGTTTACATAATTTACTTCCAGAAATTGCCCCCCCCCCTCCACAGTGAGAATAGCATTCATTTGGAGCTGATCACATAAGCCATAGAGGACAACAAACATTGGAGAAATCTTGTTTTGCCAGGTTAGGTTCCTCAACTGGTCAATTTGGTACATTCTTTGCATTGCATTACCTCTCCAGTCAGTTATAGCAGAGCTAGCTTTTGGATACAAAAAAGACTCAGGGAAATCTTCTACAGGCTCCAAGGATCGGCTGAGAGTTGAAGCCCAAAGAGAGCCCGTGTAAAGGTAGAATGCGGATGTGCACCCTGCCAAAACTTATATTCAAGTCTTTAGGGAGGCAGATGCTGCAGGAACTGCTTTCAATCCAGTCTTGGCCCAAGTCTCCCCACCCCCAACCGGACATAACTGCTTCTGTCCAGAGTCCATACGGAGAGTGTGGTAAGGACAGCCGAGAAGGTTATAAGAAGCTTGCTTCCTGTTATTCAGGATAGTGCTTGTAAGTGCTAAGAGCTCAAAGACCTCACAGGCCTACGTCATGGTCTGTTTCTGGGAGGAGGTTTCGAAGCATTTCTAGCAGGACCACCAGATTCTGTAACAGCTTTGTTCCTTATGCCATCCGTCCGGTAAACTCGCAAGATTCGTTTTTCTCGCCATGCACATGCATACATCCGGACGAGACTATGTTGTTTCTGCGTGTCATATATGTGGGTATATGCCTAATTTATTTACTTCTTTCTTTTGTCATGGTTGTGTAGTATATATATTGGAAGTGGTGACCCTTTGAGAGCTGTCCGCAACGACATTTTATTTTTAATGTATGCTGATAAAAGTGTACATTTAAAGTGACAATTAAGTTTTTCTAAGTCTTCCCAGGAAAGGAAGGGTAGTTGTATGGTGGACCACCAAAAAGAGGGGCAGCTGATACATCAAAGATGGACAGAGTGAGGAATAATTAGTAAGAGAGCACAGACTAGAGCTAGAAATTCCAGATTCCTTCCTTTCTTTTTCTTTCTTTCTTTCTTTCTTTCTTTCTTTCTTTCTGATGGGTGGTGGTGGCAGGTGTAGGTTACAACTAGATAGACACAACTGTCCAGGTGAAAAAAAAAAGATAACCTGGCTGAGTACTTCCAATCTCCTATTCTTGCCCCAAATTTACCTCGGGGGCTGTTGGGGGTCGTTTCGGTTGGTTTGAGGCAGACGTCTGTGTAGCCGGCGGTGACTGCGATTCCGGCGGCTGAGTTGTCGAGGCATCGGTACTAGAGGCAATGAAAAAAAAAAGGTTAAAACAGTGTAAGCTTGGCAAAATGCGCGCACAGATGCCCCAATTATACAATGTCCTACCAGTCAATGACTATTTCAGCTTCAACCACAATACAAGAGCCACAACAGATACAAACTCAATGTAAACCGCTTCAAACTCGATTGCAGAAAGTATGACTTCAAGCAACAGAGGGGTCAATGCCTGGAATGCACTACCTGACTCTGTTGTTACATCCTCTAACCCGCCACTCTTTTAACCTCAAACTATGCACTACTGACCTCACCCCATTCCTAAGAGGTCTGTAAGGGGTGTACATAAGTGCACCATCGTGCCTACCGTCCCTGTCCTATTGCCCCCACTTATTCGTACCTATTTCCTGTATTCTTACTCATGTTTATACTTATAGCTATTATCTTGTAAGCGACTGACAAATCAAATCAAATCAAATCAAATCAAACCAAATCAATCAATATATAAAATGGCTTCACGTCTTGCCCTACCTACCTCTTTGGGTCTGGCTGTTCCTGCTTGCTTGCCCATCCTGTCCCGTCTTTCGGCACTAGTGAGACGTTGGGGTCATTGCCTTTGTTCTCTGCTTTTAAGCTTGGCAGGTTTGCAGGGGGTGGCATGCGTCGGGCAATGGCAACCTTACCGAGACTCTGCAAGCCATGGCGGGGGGTTACTGCAGGAAAGAGGATTTCAAAGGTTAAAAGCTGCCCTGAGATATCTTTGAGCAACTGACTGTCCCGATTCACACCAATTGTCAACCGGACTTTTTGTCAAATCCCCAGTTAACCGGTTACGATAAGAGACAGCTGCTCAGGGCGCTGCGAGTACCATCAGAGCATCAGAGATAGAGCAAGTTCATCATGGCAGCTGCCTCCTTCTTTAAGAACGGAACTGGGAAGAATCAGCCTGATACAACACTGGGCATTTTTACCTGTGGGTTTCTGGATCTCTAAGGACTTGCCCTTGTACGTATCAAACAGGTTGAGCGACGAATACTTTTTTCCATCCTTCCCCTTTGCTGTTTGCCCCAAACGATCTGACATTGCGCTGTAAGGTCATTGAGTACGATGGTTCCTCCTGGCTCCCCGCGAAACGTGCCTATGTTGGACCAGGAAGGAGGAGACTAAGAGGAAGAAAATGCAGCCATGTTGGTTTTATCTTTCCCCACCAATTAGCAGCTATTAAATTTAGTAGCCAGTTGACACAAGCAGAGCCGGCTTTAGGCTAAGGCCAAATTAACACTGGCTTAGGACACCAAAGCTTTAAAAGGACACCAATGTTTCCCTAAGTCATTCTAAAATGCAGATCTTCACATGGGCGGGAAATGGGCGCCATCAGTCAACATGGCTCAGGGTTGCCGTATTCCTTTGAACTGGCATTGGATACAACGGCTTTTCCTTATACAACACTGAGGCTAATCATGACGATGTCCCATTTTTCATATCCATTTGAGGGAAATGTAATTAAACACCTTTATAGGATTGCCCGTCTCACTGAACATGGCTTGGCGGTATACAATCAAAAATTAAAACAATATCACAACCATTAAAAGACTGATGAGGCAGGTAGATGTGATCGCTGGTCCTTCAAATAGCATGGACCTGTAGGGCTTTAAAGCTCAGAACCAGCACCTTGAATTGCACCTGGCAGCATATTGGCAGACAATGCAGCTCACAGTACACAGGTGTGACTTGTGCCGTCCTAAAGGCACACAACTGTGCAGCCACATTCTGCACCACTTGAAGCTCCTGAAGTGTCTTCAATGGCAACCACACACGTAGTTTGCGTTACAGTTAATACACCCTAGAGGTGACTAGGGACTGAGTGACTGTGAGCAGAACCTCATGGTCCAGGAAAGAGTGAAATTGGTGCACAACATAACTTTGTACAAAGACCCTCCTGTCTGAAGTCACAAATCTAGAAGGACCCCCATATTGCGCACTAGTCTGTCTGGGATAGTGCCGGCCCATCTAGTATCAAAGATGATAAAAGTTCCAGATCCACAAAGACCAAATGCCACTTAGTCTTGCCAGAGTTCAGAGGAAGCCTGTTGTCCCAGATTCAGGCACCCAGAGCCTCCAGCAAGTGAGATAAAACACCAATCATGCCACTCAATATGCCAAGACAGAGATGTACAATTTGGGGATTATCAGCATAATGATACCTCACCCCAGGGTGACAAGTGATCTCACCCAGAGGCTTCATGCAGATGTTAAACAGGAGTGGAGAGAGTACTTAAACCTGCAGCACCCACATAACAAGAGGCTGCGGGCAGGACTCGCAATTGACACTGACTGGTACCAGCCACACAGGAAGAGAACCAGCCCAATATTGCACAGTTCACTCCCTATTAATGGAGCTGATCCAGAAGGTACCATGACTGGTACCATGACACCGAAGGCGGATGAGAGGTGGGGGCAAAGGCACTACTGCTGACCTGCTCCTGCCAGAGATCATCCCAAAGCACAAACAATGCCATTTCTGTTGCATGCTCAGGTCTCAATACTGACTGAAAGGAGTCCAAATAATCAGCTTCACCCAGAGTTTTGCTGAAGCTGATGTACAACCAACTTCTCCATAACCTCCCTGAAGGAAGAGAAGTTAGATATTGGATAAAAAATGTCCAGTAAAGAGGGATCCAGTGATGGCTTCTTGAGAAGGGAGTGGACCAAAGCCTCCAATGGAACCACACCCTCTTTCAAGGATGAATTAAATACTGCTAGAACCCAACCATCCCATATTCCCAGGCAGCATTATTAAGCATGGATCTAAGGAGCAGGTGGCTGAGCTCGTTGTCCACTTCCTCAGATCCAACAGGTTCAAACTGTTCTCAGGTAACAGGGGGAGACTGTGTCCCAAGCACCTCCACTGGATCCGTACCAACACTGATGTCTAAATGGCAACTGACGGATGTTCTGCACATTCATTCTTCCATGGAGACAATCTTCCTTTTCCAGGAGGGCTTGAGTCACTCTAAACAAGGCCAAGGGTGGCTAACCATAGATAAAATAAATGCGGCAAAACTCCTGCTTATTGGCCACCCTGATCACCCCAGTTAGGCCTTAATAGTGGCTCTCACCCATGTTCAGTCGAGTTAATCCTTTGGCCTTCAGGGAGATGACACTTCGCCATAAACCAGAGTGTGATGGGATTCACAGGAGATGAGGTCACATGGACGCGATCCAATCTAAAGCCTCAGTTGCCCTCTCATTCCAAGCAATGACCAAGGCTCTATCCGTTGGTGGAGCAGGCCATCAGGAATAAGCCCCATTTTTCTATTGAACCTAACAAGGTCTACCAATCACAGGAAGTGGAAATCTAATACTGTCCCATCTCTTCGCAGCAGGGGGCAGCACCAGATGATCTCATGGCAACCAGGGCATGACCTGGCCATCACAGTGGAGTTACAGATAGCTCCCTCCAACTTCAGATCACATTACTAGTGTTCCAGCAGAAAAATGAGATCAAATGTATGGCCGTTGCCCCATGTCAGGCCCTGGATGATCTGGGATAGGGGCCTGGTTATTTATTAGGGTGGCCGTGAACTTCTGAGCCACCTCAGACCTCACTTCCAGAAAAGGCAGATTGAAATCTCACCGAACTGTAAGCCTGGAAAATTTCACTGCCCAATTCAAGTCAGAGTCAAGCAGCTCAGGCAGGGAAGTTGCTACCCAACTGGGAGGCTGGTATACAACAGTTACAGTCCCAACTGATCCCTAGAGCCCAACTTAAGGAACAGGATCTGATAGCTGGCAACCTGTGAAACAATGCCCCTGAAAGCCACAAGAGATTCCCAGCTGATAACTGGCAAACGCCCCAGCTGCTGCCTTTAAATCTTGGCTGATGCCACACTAAGACCCCAACTGGGCATATTTCCAAGAAGTGGGTATCTCCTCTAGACTCAGTCAGATCTTGATAATACAGGTAGTTCTCAACTTATGAGCACAACGGAGCCCAACATTTCTGTTGTAACGTGAGACACTTGTTAAATGGGTTTTGCCCCATTTTACAGCCTTTCTTAAGTGAATCACTACAGTTGACAAAGCTAGCAACCCGGTTGTTACGTGAAACTGGCTTCCCCATTGACTTGGCTAATCAGAAGGTTGCAAAAGGGGATCATCATATGACCTTGGGACACAGCAACAGTCATAAATATAAACCAGTTGCCAACATCTGATTTTTTGATCATGCGATCATGGGGATGCTGCAAAAGTCGTAACTGTGAAAAACATTCAAAAGTCACATTTTCAGAGCCGTTGTTCCTCTCTGAATGGTCACCAAGTGAATTCTTGTTAAGTCCAGGACTACATGTACACACCAGATCAAATGGCTGGTGAGGGAGGCTTTATTACTGGTTGGCCTGGCATTCAGCAACAGCTGAAAACAGGGCCTCTCAATCAACACAAATTAATGCAATTCTCTCTGTGGAGAAGTGCACCTGGGTTGGCAAAGCAAGCAACCAAGGTAGAGGCACGAGAAACCGAGACTGACCAACAGCAGCCTTCAATCAGCTTGACCCACTGATTTTTTTTTGCAATTTAGCAACAACAAACCGTGTGTTAATTGCTTATTCATTTTGGCCATCAGGGTCAATCATTCAAGGGAGTAGGGATGCCATTAATAAGGGCCCCTACATTTCCAATTGCATCAACTGATAGCAACTAACAACAACAACAATGATATACGTAATCCTGGACTTACAACATAGTTTGAAACCAGAATTTCCAACACTAAGCAATGTAGTCATAAAGTGTGACCATATTGTTTAATGATGGCAGTCCCAGTTGCTGTTAACACAGTCCTCATGTGGGCAACACCCTGCCAGTTTCCCACAACCAAATTAGTGGGGAAGCCCATAGGAAGCTGTGTCAAGTGGTCCGTAGGCAGGCTGGCAGGTAGGGAAGGGTGCGAAGGAAGTGCAAGGGGGCATAGCAAGGCTCAGAGACGGAGAGTGTGTGAATGGCCAGGGGAAGTCCAGAGGGGTTGTGGAAGTACAGATGAGGGAGGCTTAGCTCAGTGATCTTCCCTGTTGGCTTCCCCAGCACTTCGTCAATGAACAAATGATTTTAACCCAAGGACAATCAGGAATGAACAAAAGCAAATGTAAGTGTCCCAGGATAATGTTGCAGGATCCAATCTGGGTTGGTCACTGGGACCAGAGGTTTTGTCTTCCGAGCTTTTGGTCTCTTGCTGGAGCACATACCACTTCAATAAGTACCGTATAAATCTCACACACAACAGGACACACTCTGCTAGAGAGAAGTTCCCCGAAGATGGGCTCCAGCAACAAGTCGGAAGACAAAAATCTCTGGTCCCAGTGACCGACCCCGACTGGATCCTGCAACAACCAGTCATTTCTTTGGTATCCCATTTCTTAGATTATGGGTGATCCCCATATATGCTTTATCAATGAAAATTCTAGTCAAGAGAATTTCATTTAAAGAATAAAGCAGGTATTGTTGTGTCTCACTAAAGTATCCCTAAGGTTCCAAGTCAAAAGACAAGAACTATTTAACCTTTGTAATATTGTTTACATATATTTGAGTTTCACTGCAAATTAGGCAGCACTACTAGACTCCTTGCAGAGAAAGACTTAATTTCTGTATCATTAAGTTATCTTTCTCTTAGATTACTATGTTGTTGCTTTAAACCAGGGGGTGTCAAACTCACATTGTCACGGCATTGTCATGTGACGTATCGGGACTCCCCCCCCCCGCTTTGCTAAACGAGACAGGGGCGGGGCCAGCACATGAGGCATTTGGCCTGTGAGTTTGACAAGCCTGCTTTAAACACTTAAATAACCCAAACAGCAAAACTTGTCTATATGCAGGATTAGAAACACTTTTCAGGGATGGATTTAGGACAGAGATGAACAGCCTACAAGAGCTAGGGGCTCCATCCGGTTATGCTATGATGCCACTAAGAAGGGCATCATGTATTTCTTCAGCCAATATTTTGGGCTGACAAGATTAGGGTGCCAATGAGAGTGGGCTTATTCCAAAAGACAGACCATTCTACTGTGGCTTTTAAACCACTGCCAAACGAACAAGCAAACAGGTCTAAAAATTTATCATTTTACTACAAAATTTCAGTGGTAT